AGTAGTAGTAGTAGTAGTAGTAGTAGTAGTAGTAGTAGTAGTAGTAGTAGTAGTAGTAGTAGTAGTAGTAGTAGTAGTAGTAGTATTAGTAGTAGTAGTAGTAGTAGTAGTACGTAGTAGTAGTAGTAGTAGTAGTAGTAGTAGTAGTAGTAGTAGTAGTCGTCGTACTGCGGGAACTAATAATAATAAGGATTATTGTAGTCGTCGTACTAATAATAGTGGGGCTAATCGTAGTCGTAGTAGGAATAGTAGTAGTAGTAGCAGTCGTAGTCGTAGTCGTAGTAGTAGTAGTAGTAGTAGTAGTAGTAGTAGTAGTAGTAGTCGTCGCAGTACTACTACTACTGCTACTACTACTACTACTACTACTACTACTACTACTACTACTAGCAATAGTAATAGTAGGAGTCGTTGCAGTCGTAGTCGTAGTAGTCGTAGTAGTCGTAGTAGTCGTAGTAGTCGTAGTAGTCGTAGTAGTCGTAGTAGTCGTAGTAGGTAGTAGGTAGTAGGTAGTAGGTAGTAGGTAGTAGGTAGTAGGTAGTAGGTAGTAGGTAGTAGGTAGTAGTAGTAGTAGTAGTAGTAGTAGTAGTAGTAGTAGTAGTAGTAGTAGTAGTAGTAGTAGTAGTAGTAGTAGTAGTAGTAGTAGTAGTAGTAGTAGTAGTAGTAGTAGTAGTAGTAGTAGTAGTAGTAGTAGTAGTAGTAGTAGTAGTAGTAGTAGTAGTAGTAGTAGTAGTAGTAGTAGTAGTAGTAGTAGTAGTAGTAGTAGTAGTAGTAGTAATGGTAATAGTCGTGGTAATAATCGTAGGACTAGTGATGGTAGTAAGACTACTACAAATAGTATCGCGGTAGTCGTAGTGCGAGGAGGAGGCGCAGCAGCAGTAGTAGTGGCAGCAAACATTCAATAGTAAAGACGCGTCTGCAACATAACGAAACACATAATAACATATGCAACCCATACAGGAAACATGCACAACACATGTCCAACATACATGCGCAACAGCACGAAACATATACAAACCATACCCCCGAACACGAAACAACTACGAAACATACGTGTCGGGATTGTGTTTCTAAGGCTAAGATGAATGTCGTGAGTGTGTCTCGAAAATCGAAGCGTGTGTTATTCGTGTGTCTCTGTGCTTTACGTGCGTGTCAGACTTGTGTCTCGAAGGTTTCAATGTGTGTCAGGATTGTGTCTCTGAGGTTGAAGTGCATGCCGTGCCTGTGTCACACGTGTCTCTCCAACATTAAGTGCGCATCGTGTTTGTGCCCCTCAGGCTAACATTCACGTCGTGCCTGTCTCTCAAATATGAATGCATTCCAAGGCTGCGGTTCTAATGCCCAAGTGCGTGTCAGGATTGTGTCTCTAAGACCGAAGTGCGTGTCATGGTTTTGTCCTTAAGGTTCAAGTGTGTGTCGTGGTTGAATCTTTGAGGCGTAAGTGCGTGCCAAGGTTGTCTCTAATGTTTAAATGCGTGCCAGGATTGTGTTTCTAATATGCTTAAGCGCGTGTCAGGATTGTGCCGCTGAGATTGAAGTGCGTGCCTGGACTGCACTTCTGAAGTTTAAGAGTGTGTGTGTGTGTGTTAACGTTGTGTCTCTAAACTTCAATTGCGTGCTAAGTTTGTGTCTCGAAGGTGTAAGTGCGGGTGATGCCCTGAGAAGGAGGAAGCAGAGGAGAGGGAGGAGAACCCGCAAGGGTGTAGAGAACCCGCAAGGTTCTCACCAGGAGAACCCGCCGATTCCGCGTTGGCCCCGTTCACCCGAAGAACCATCCGATTCCCCTGGGGAACCAATCGTTTTCCCGGATCGCCACTTTTTCTTGCCCTGATGGGGGCCTGGGAAGTCCTGGGGGGCTCTGGGGGGCCCTGACAAGTTCTGGAGGGCTCCGGGAGGCTGGGGGGCCCTGGGAAGCCCTGTGGGGCCCGAGCTGGACCGGCGGAACTCGCCCGAACGACCATGCCGACACCGAAAAGGCCCGAATCGGCCCGCGGCCGAAACCGAACCGGCACAACCGACCGAACCGGCCCGCCGCCGAACCAGCCTGAAGCGGAACCTTCCTGGAAGAAGGGCTATACTATTAACCCCGACTCAGGCGCCCGTGCCATGAAACCATATTAATCCGCATTGAGCCCGGAAATCAGCGAGATTGAACCATGTTGCACGGAAAGCGGAATCAGACCATATTATGCGGGATTGGACTGGCTTTCGACTACGGATATACCAGCGCCGACGCTGAACTTATCCTCGCAGGACGTGCATCCTTACGGTGAGGGCATTTGATAAAACAAAAATCCTTGGATCGATAATCTAGAAGCGAGTCGAACTCCAACCGTGGCATGGCCATGGATATCACCTGCTTTCATTGGGTAAGGAATTATCCAGGGTCTGAAACGTCCTTGGCACACTCCTGAACCAACGCCCCCACCGCACCCATCTCCCCACGCGTTTGTCACAGCGCGCGCTCTTCGGTGCCGGAAGGGGGGTATCGGATCTCCGCCTTCCACCCGCGCGCAGGCGCCAGAGATCTGGTGCTGGCATTGGAGCAGCGCTGTCCCTGTGAGGAGGAGGAGGAGGAGGAGGAGGAGGAGGAGGAGGAGGAGGAGGAGGAGGAGGAGCAGGAGGAACAGGAGGGGTAGGTGGAACTCGGATCGCTTTTGACAAGGGCTGTGGGGCAGCCCCAGGCGGTCTCAACAACTCCGTACCGCGTCTCCTGAGATCCGGCGAAGCGAAAAATGCAACATGGTGAAAAATCACGACCTGAGCCCCAGACCCCATCTTTCTGCGTCATTTTCCGAGCTTGATCGATCTGTGAGGGTCCCGGGGGCCGAACTTGGGCGAAAACGCCCCGTGTGAAAAAATTGCAACGCCAGGATCTCAGGGTCTGGCGGCGCCCTCAAGGCGTTGCGACCGCCCAACGCTTTCGATGATCCTCAGGACGTGTGTTATTAGCGCCTCCGTGTGCTTATCCCCCGCAGCCCTTCAGCACAACGCGGGCGGCATCATGAGGGCCGACGCAGGCTGCGTACAGTGGGGGCCAGACCACAAGAAACCTTCCACAAGAAACACAACCCTGAGACCCCAGGACGTCCATGGATTCTTCGTGTGGGAACGTCACGCTCTCCACACCAAAACAATCGGTACCCGATAAACCCAGGGCATCCTGGAGGCACGCAGGGTGTTTCTTGGCATGGGTCTCCACTGTAATGTCGGAGCCGCACGGGATAAACACACATTGGGCTAACTCACGTCCTGGGGATCATTGACTTTTCCCTGGGGTCCTGCTGAGGCAAGCCTAGACTACAGTCGAAACGCTGCCATACGGAACCTGAAATAAGGAACGAGGCCCCTTTTTTCCATAAGTGGAACTTCAACTTCCCATAGACAAACTTAGGAGAACCTGAGACGGACTGCAAAACAGTTCAGGCACATTGAGGCCCTCCCCAACGCAAAAGGGCTCCTGCTTCAGCGGCCCGACTGTAGAAGAAGAACAAAGACGACGTCATCACAGGGCTGAACCTAAACGGCGTTTTTCGTTCTCCTTTTGTTTTCGCTTCTTCAATCCACCTCTACCGCAGAACGGAGTCGACGCGAAAACGGCCCCCGAAATCGCCCAAACACCGTTTAGGCCCAGCCCTGCGCCAGCCGAAACTTTCGACGCCCCGCGCGGATCTCTCGGCTCTGCCACGGGCCCCCCCCCTGGCGCGCGGAGGCGCCGCCAAGGCTGGCGCCAGGTAGGCGCCGCCCAGGGGGCTCCGGAGCAGCTCCAAGAGATCCGCGCGGGGCGTCGAACGTTTGTGTGCATGCAGTTCTTCATCTGATCTTCGAGTCCAGGAAGAGCAGCACGAGCAGCCCCAGGCCTCACCAGGACCCAGTCCGTCCGGTCGGGGAGACGCGCGGCTCGGGTGGGGGGGGACTGGGGCTGGCCTGACGGGGCACCCATGCAAGTGACGAGGCCCAATCTGGAACTTGACGCGAGCTCCCGCTGCAAACATCCCACGAAAACCGGGCCGTCAAAATTCAGGACGCGCTCGTCAAAAAACGTCGGCAAACCAGAGTTCTGACATACTCGAGTCTTGCGTTTCCCCGATCTGGGTGTCGCACGTGGCGTGGCTCACCAAGGTTAGGTCGGGCATGTCCCTCCCCTACAGGCGGATTTTGGATGAAAAATTAACCTGACGAACGACCCAACCAGATGCAGCTGCGAGTGCCGCATTGTGGGTACCGCTTTCGGTGGAGCTCCGTATGGGGCCACGAAGCGTGCGAGGGGTGCGCCGAAATCGGTGGCGCGGACGCATGTGGAAAACGCCGCTGGGGCCTTCGGTGGAGCTCCCCATGGGGCCACGAAGCACTGTCCTGGGTGGGGGAGGCGCATGCGAACTGCGCCAGTGGGACCTTCGTTGGAGCGGAGCTGCGTATGGGGCCGCGAAGCGCTGCCATGGGTGGGGGGGGACGCATGCGAACTGAGAACTGCGCCACTGGGGCCTTCGGTGGAGCTCCCTGTGGGGCCACGAACCGTGTGAGGGGTGTGCCTACATGGGTGGCGTTGACGCATGCGGACCCTGCCAGTGGAGCCTTCGGTGGAATTTTCTATGGGGCCACGAAACGTCGTCCCGGGTGGCGTTGGCGTTGCGGACCCTGCCACTGGAACCTTCGGTGGAGGATGGGAAGATCGAGGGAGGAAGGGGAGGAGGAGGAGGAAGAGACGCGGGGCGCTCTCTCTTCAAAGCGAGGACCCAACACCACAGGATGGTTGGGAAATACTCAAAAATTCGTCCCCAAATTATCTTGTGACTATTTAAGACTGTTCCTCCTGTAGATGGACAGGCCCGAATTAACCTTAACAGGATTCAATCCGGGTGTCGCACGGCGGCGCGCACGTGGCGCGGCTCACCAGGGCATTTTGAGCGGGGACCGACCGTCCCGGCATTCCTGGAAGCCTACCACGAGATGTTCTCAGAGCCTCATCGTGTTCGAATAACAACAAATAGCCTGGCGAAGGACCCAACCATATGCAATTGTGAATACCGCAATTCTGAATATCATCTTCGCCCGCGCTCCCTGTGGGGCTACGAACCGTGTGAGGGGCGTGCCGACATGCGCGGCGGGGCACACAACGCGAGCGAAGGCGATAGGTCTGTGTGCGGGAGACTGAGAGCGAGTGAGTCTGATAGTGGATGAGTCTGCGCGTGCGTGTCTACGTGCATAAATGTCGACGCCCATGTCGGTACGCCTCTCACGAGGATCGCGCCCGCTTCCTTTCCGTTCTTCTTATCCCTCTTTGCCCGTGTACGCCCACGTCCAAAGCTGCGGGCGCGGCGCCGCACGGAGTCCCCGCGACGCGCGCTGGTCGCCCCGAAAAGGTCCTGGCGACGGGCGCGGATCGTCCGGTGCGCGGAGCAGAGAGAGCGAGCAGGCTGCCTCCCGCCCGGGATGTGCGGCCCGAAAGCGGCCTCAATACGTCGAGTACGACGACCAACCCTCGAACATCGAAAATCGCAACCATGCGAACTCCGCCACTGGGCCGCCATGCGAGTTCCGCCGCGGAGACCTTAGGTGGAGCTCCCTGTGGGGACACGAAACGCTGTACTGGGTGATGAATGACGCATGCGGGCGGTCCCACTGGGGACTTCGGTGGGGCCCCCCATGGGGCCACGAAGCGCTGTACTGGATGGTGGATGACGCATGTGGGCGGTCCCGCTGGGGCCTTCGGTGGAGCTCTCTATGGGGCCACGAAGCGCTGTACTGGGTGGTGGGTGACGCATGCGGGCGGTCCCACTGGAGCCTTCGGTGGAGCTCCCTATGGGGCCACGACGCGCAATACTTGGTGGGGGGTGACGCATGCGGGCGCTCCCACTGGGGCTTTCGGTGGAGCCCTCTATGGGGCCACGAAGCGCTGTACTGGGTGGTGAATGACGCATGCGGGCGGTCCCACTGGGGCCGTCGGTGGAGTTCTCTATGGGGCCACGAAGCGCTGTACTGGGTGGTGGATGATGAATGCGGGCGGTCCGGCTGGGGCCTGCGGTGTAGCCCTCTATGGGGCCACGAAGCGCTGTACTGTGTGGTGGATGACGCATGCGGGCGGTCCCACTGGAGCCTTCGGTGGAGCTCCCTATGGAGCCACGAAGTGCTGTGCTGGGTGGTGGATGACGCATGCGGGTGGTCCCACTAGGGCCTTCGATGGAGCTCCCTATGGGGCCGTGGTGGATGACGCATGCAGGCGGTCCCACTGGGGCCTTCGGTGGAGCTCCCCATGGGGCCACGAAGCGCTGTACTGGGTGGTGGATGACGCATGCGAACGGTGCCACTGGGGCCTTCGGTGGAGCTCTCTATGGGGCCACGAAATGCTGTGCTGGGTGGTGGATGACGCATGTGGGCGGTCCCACTGGAGCCCTCGGTTGAGCTCCTTATGGGGCCACGAAACGTGTGAGGGGTGCGGGGGGGACGGGAGGAGGGAGGAGGGGGGGAGGAGGAAAGAAGGAAGGAAGGAAGGAAGGAAGGAAGAAAAACGCGGGGACCGTCTCTTCACAACGAGGACCCAACACCACAGGATGGTTGGGAACAATGTTCTTAGAACAGACACCCGATGTGCCAAAACGAGACAGGCCCAGCCAGAAATGTCCTAAGACAATCTCGTGCAGACCACAAGAGTCGGGCGTTGGCAGAACTGGGTTTAGTGGGACCTGGTTTAGCGATGTGTACTGGGGGACGCCCCCCGCGCCCCGTTCCACTACCTGGTTTAGTGATTCTGGCCAATTGAAGGGCTCCGGGGCCCTACCACTAACCGGGTCCCCTTACCTGGGGTCCTGGCTACACCCGAACGGTTTCCCCCAGGGCCGTAGGCGACCCGAGGAGGAGGACGAGGCGGAGGAGGGGGAGGGGGAGGAAGAGGAGGAGGAGGAGGTGGAGGAGGAGGAGGAGGGAGGAGGGGGAGGGGGAGGAGGAGGAGGGAGGAGGAGGACGAGGAGGATGAGGAGTAGGAGGAGGTTCATGGTTATACCCGAAAAAGGTTTTCAGACCATTCTCTGGCGGGGATTAACATCAAGGGGCCCTGGGACACACAAACAAATACACACAAATAACAGGATTCCCCATCTTTTCTGATATTTCCTTGGTTTTTGTCTCCCCCCCCACTTCCCAACTTTTTCCTATACTTTCTGGGGGATCGGCGATTACTTGTGTCTGTGTGTTTTTCTCCCTCCTGATAGCAGGCGCGCCGAGACGCCTCGCCGCTGCCTGGGCCACCCGGCCCTCGCGGCCTCAGCGGGCGTCGCGCCGGAGAGGCCCGGGGCCCTCGACGGGGCCACGGGCCACCGCCCGGACGGGGCAGCTCCGAGGCCCGAGCCGCCACAGGCTCGCCGTCGTCGTCGTCGTCGTCGTCGTCGTCGTTCTTGTCGTCGTCGTTCTTGTCGTCGTCGTCGTCGTCGTCGTCGTCGTCGTCGTCGTCGTCGTCGTCGTCGTCCTCGTCCTCATCCTCGTCCTCGTCCTCGTCCTCGTCCTGTTCCTCGTCCTCGTCCTGTTCTTCGTCCTCGTCGCCGTCCTTGTCGTCGTCGTCCTGCCTTCCAGCAGCATCTTGAGGATAAAGAATTCCAGCGTTCAGGGTACATATTCGTGAACGTAAAGAAGGATTTCGATACTTCAGGGGCTGATGATCTGCGCAACTGTGCGCGTACTGGTGAGCCTCCTCCCCCTGCTCCCTTGATCTGGGTGCCGTGACAAGAGAGCGCTCCGTTTCTGGCCCTGGGATCCTGTTGGTCGACCCAGTTCAAGAAAGCAGGCAGAGAATTCGAGTCGAGAGCTTCCCGTTGCGATTTCTCCACGTCGTTGCTGATTTCTTAAAACATCGGGTCTCGGGTTCCTCCAGGGAGGGGAAGGGGAGGAGGGCGAGTTGTCTAAGCATGGCTGTCCCCCCAGCGACCTGCAGCATGCCTGGACGCAGGTTCGCGCTGGATCCGGAGGGGGGGGGGCCCAACTGCGGCAAAGGCGGAACGGGGGCCGCGCCAGCCTGTGGCTGTGGCAGCGGCAGCGCCGGCTGCTGCGCCGTCGCTGCGGCAGTGCTGGGAGGAGCTGGATACCTGGGAAGCGGAGGCAACCCAGTCAGCGCTGGCGCTGAGGCGTTCACCGCTGGCAGCGGCGGCAACGGGCCCAATCCGGGCAGTGAGGGTAACGCACCGGGCCCCGGGCCAGCGATGGCACCTGGGAGCGCTGGAAGGCCAGCGACGGGCAGGCGGGCTGCGGGAGGCAGCTGCAACGTGCCCATCCCTGGCAGCGTGTTGAGGCTGGGCGGTCGAAGCATCAACAATGACTTGTCGGCAGCATCTATGCCTTGCTTCTGAGGCAGCGCCGGGAGTGTGGAATAATTTGGGGGAGGCCGCATCATCGACTTGTGCTCGAGCTCTGTCCGGCTTTTGCTCATGGCATCGGACGCCTCCGTTGGGGTGTGCTTCTTGATGAGTCTCTTCCGCAGCCTGGTGGGACGATTGGCAAACATGAAGCAAACAATGCAATACAGCGGAAAGACAACGAGAGCAGATAAGACGCCCCCTGCCATATACGCATCCGCCGAAATCAAGTCATCTGGCTCGCCATATATCAAGGCATTCACGGCCATGACACCAGTGACCATCACGCCAATGCACATGAGTCGCTGCGGCCGCGTAAACGTCTGGTGGAAGAAGAGGGGGCCAAAGATCGCGTGGTCGCGCTTCAGCACCTGCCAGAGTGTGACGGCGAGGAAGAGTTGGCGGTTGGTGGCGTGCTGGTATGCAATCGGGTCATCCGTGGTCCTTGCCTGAGGGAGGAGAAGGGGGGGAGGAGAAGGAGGAGGAGGAGGAAGAGGATGATGATGAGGAGGTGGAGGAGATTGCCTCGTTGACGCCGTCACCCCTCAATCGGATGGTGGCGCGAGGCAGCTTGCCGGTGCGCTGCTTCTCGCGGTGCAGCTCATCCATGATGTAGCCCCATAGCGTGCTGATCGTCCCCACCAGCAACACCATCCCCACAAGAGCCATCTGGTGAGCGTTTTCTTATTCGGCGTTTCGACATTGGGCGGAAGGGGGGGAGGGGAGAGACTGGCTCTGAACCTCTGCTTAGTGAGACTGTCTGCAAAATTGCGTCCGATGGGGGATACTCCTCCTGCTCGAAACAGGCGCCCAAAACAGCCAAGATCTACTCCATGGGGGGGGGAGGAGGGGTGCGAGGGCCCGCGCCGATCGGCAAAACAATTAATCAAAAACGACCACCTGCATGAAATTGGTGCCAACGTCAGAGACTGCCTCTATCCGCAAGTTGTCCATGTAGTAACCAGTCGCCGACGCCAGCTTCTTAGCCGAAGGCACGCGGCCGTCGATGAAGAACGCAATGTCCGAGAGGTGCGTGGTCCAACAACCGTCGCCATTGTTGAGCAGACCCACAGGGGACCATGCACCGCCCGCAGTGTTTGGATAAAAACGGTCCCAGAAGAGACAAACGCCAGACGACGTCAAATCTTCGTCAATGAAGATCCTGATGGGCTCTGACTCATTCTCAATCTGCAACTCTACCGTGTTGGCCTGCATGACCATGAGACTAATCATCCGTGTGCTCCCATCCGTTGGCGGTGTGGTGTCCGACCAATAATACATATTGTTATCGTACTCAACGTAAATGAAGGAGAACGAGTTGTCCTCGGAGGCGAAGGCGGGGGGGATAGTGTACTTGGACGGAAACCAAAAGCGGATATCTGGCACCTCCAGGCTGCTCATGTCGGTTGTCTTGCCAAAGTACAAGGTGAAACCGGAGGTCGAGAAACTGATCGGCGCCTCGTTCAGGCCCATCTGCACGATGGCCGTCTTGCAGATGAGGTCCCGCAGCACTGCAGCGCGTGTGATCGTCTGCGAGTTCTGCCTGTCCGCGATGTACTTCTCGGCGATTCGAAGCTGCTCTGCCTGCTCCGCTGCCTCTCTCTCGGAGCCCGTGGAGCCTGGTACCTGTTGCTCTTGCAGAGCCCAAGTCGCCTCCAACTGTGCCCACTCGTCCAGCTCCTGCGCCTCCGCCCGGTCTCGCGCCAACTGCGCAGCCTGGGCGTAGGGGAGGATGAAGGTTTCTGCTTCCTCCAGTTGCCAAAGAGCCAGACTGACGGACGAATAATTGTAAGGGTTCGTGTCTGTGAGCCTCCGCTCCGAAGGCCAGCCCCAACGCCACGACCAATTACTGCTCCGGCTGTCCGGGTCGTGGTCTGGAATGCTAGTGAACTTGAACTCTCTTGACAACTTGCGGCCCCACTCAGCTGGCACGACCTTTCTTCGCCATCCTGAGCTCAACCTTCTCTCTGTCGACCCTCCCCAAGAATAGATCGGACATTTGTTTCCAGACACCCAGCATGGAGGTGACCAACAGCTTGTGAGCTCGTTGACGGTGTCGCAACATGTGAAATAGACCAACCTCGTCCCTGCCGGCACGCATGCAAGGTACAACTTATCGCAATATGCAGTGGGGCAACTGTTGATCAAACCTTTATTCTGAGAGTCCGTCGGGTGGTTTGTCTGCTGCCTCTCGCTCGTGGTGCTCATGGCACTCCTGCTGTACATCTGCTGGTTCTGGATGACGTTGTTTGTTGCGGCGGCGATTCCGGCCTCGAAGTCCGTGACGCTCTGCCCGGTGGGAAGCTCTGCGGCCGTGTCGGGCGCTTGCGGCAGGATGCCGTTGATGGCGCCGAAGGCGAGCTGCATGAGGTCTGGATTGTTGATGTCGAATAAGGGGGGCTCCGCCTCGGCAGCATTGTTCACCATGCTCTCGAGTGCGTCCACCGCCGAGTTGGTCACTAAGCCGGCCTCGATTATCTCTGATATCACAGTCGCCTGGGCAATTTGAGTCGACTCTGTGACGGGAGACGTCGACATCACCTCTATCAGCTGGTCTGAGACAGCCGTCAGCAGCGCTTCCTGCTCCGCGTCCAAAGCCTCCCCGGGTGCCGGCGCGGGCTGCACCGTGTTGATGCTCACTGCGGTCATCAGATTCGTGACGGCCGTCTCCGGGTCGGCAGTCGCCGCCGAGTCGAGCAGGGTGGTCGTGTAGGCGGCGACGTCGTCGGGCAGCATGCTCTGGACGACGAGGTCCGCGGTGGTGCACGCCAGGAAGGTCGTGCAGACTTCGACGCTGACGGTCAGGGTGTAGTTGGTGCTCGGCTCGCCCAGCACCATGGAATCGAAGGTGGTCGAGGAGACGGGCAGCGGGTCCGAGGTCAACTTGACCTTGGAGAAGGCCTACCTCCTCCTCCTCCTCCTCCTCCTCCTCCTCCTCCTCCTCCGCCTCCTCCCCTCCTCCTCCTCCTCCTCCTCCTCCTCCTCCTCCCTCCTCTCCTCCTCCTCCTCCTCCTCCTCCTCCTCCTCCTCCTCCTCCCCCGCCTCCTCCTCCTCCTCCTCCGCCCCGCCGCGGGGGGGAAGTGAGAAGGAGAAGGCCTTCTCACGAGGCGGCTGGCCTTCGCAGAAGCCCTCGAGCCTTCTGAGAAGTTCTCTGCGTCCTCGGGGAGATCTTAGAAATCTTCCCAGAAGACCAGGGGACTTCCGAGCCTTCTGAGAAGGCCCGCCCCTTCTCATTTTCCCCCCTCGCTCGCCGCCGATGACCGACACCATGTTGCCGTCGAAGAAGGCGTAGTACCCGAAGTGGTACGTCAGGGGCAGGTCCTCTGCCTGCCAGCCCGTGGCGCTGAACACCCTCGCCTGGTCCAGGCTCGCGACCGCTGGCGATACAGTGAGGATCCCGTTCCGAGGTGCCTCCCCGGCCGTTTCGAACGTGACGTCGCTGTATCCCTCCACGGCTCCATCGTTGATGCTGAGAGTGAGTCGAAACTTGTACGTCCTTGAAGGCAGCAGCGAATTCTGCAATATCTTCATGTCTGGCTCAAGCGAGTTCCACACGAAATTGCTTGTGTTGTCCAGGTTGTACTCTGCAGACTTGTCTAAGAACACGAACTCGTCCACATTGTAGATGACGCTCGGGTTCTTCGCGGCTTCTTCAGCTTGATCAACATCATATTCAGGATTGTTTGTATATTCGTACAAGGTCCAATAAAACTCGACAGGGACTGTGGGATCAAGTCCATCCTCCACGATACCTTCTAGTCGGATCATCTCCGTGACGGGGAACCTCGACACATCTGTAGGATCGATGACGGCCACAATCAAAGAGGGAACATCGAGCTGGGTAAGAGTGACCGTGAAGCTCTTGTCGGCGGTCCTTCCATCGTACGAAGTAATGTAGACAGTGAAGTCATAATCCTGTGCAGTTAAGTTATATGTGTCAATCATGAGTACTCCTCTCGCCCACCTGCAATACGGCAAGTCCATCGAGTCGAAGACTGGATAACTGAACAATGACCCGCCCGAGGATAACGTCTCCGTGAAGTCAGTGACGCACTGCGGCAAAGAATCTGTATCTCCTATTAAGCCATCCGGGTCCGTTCCGAAGCATGGCGTCAAATCGGCTTGCAAGCATGCGTATGCGAAGGTTCCCGGGAACGTCTCTCCCAGAGCTGTTGGGTAGTCATCGTCAAGCGAGGACCGTGCGTCTATCACCAAAATATTACCCAAAGTCATTACGTGGTCTTCCTTAGCAAGGACCACGAAGACAGGGGACCGCCGCACATACACTGTCACGTAAGCAGACGCGGTGGCTGTTGAGAAGAATTCGGCTGACAGGCCCACAGTTACGGAGAAATTGTACATGTTGGGATCATCACCTTCTGTGCCGACTGGGTGGAGGGTATAAGCTGGAATCGCCAACGTTCTGACGTTGTTAAATATGCCCTCCGCAGCAAAATCAAGCTGGCCGGTCAGATCGGTCCAAGTGTACGTGAGACCCGTCGTACTTTCCTGGCACTCAGACGGCTGGCCTACCGCAATGATTGAGAAAGACTGTGTGCGGTTATACGTGACTTCCGTGGTGCCCAAGATGGTAACGATGGGGGACTGGTAATTGAGTTTCAAAAGAGTGAATGTCAATACCGTAGACACTCCCCACCAGCTGGTGGCGGTGAGCTGGATGTTGAAAGAGAAAGCTGGCATCATGTACTCCGTGGGTATGGTCAAGATACCGGTGTTGTCGGCATTGGCGTTGACAAATGTCTCGTTTAGAAATTGAAACAACGTCTCGTTATACGGGTCAGGCCCAGTGAGTTTTTCAATTGTGTCCGTATATCCCAGAAGCTCCCACTCGTAAGTTCCATAACCGTCTGGCCCCATATACGTCGTGTCTGAAACATCGAAATGCGCATCCGTGCACTCGTCCACTTCCAGAGCCCCATTGAAATTGATGACCGGGTCCAGGAGCGGGTCTGGCAGGGAGAGCTGGATTCCGCCGGAGCCCGCCGCAGAGTACTCGCCCTTCTCCACATCTGGGACTGTGTAGATCGTGTCAGAGTCCAAGAAGATCCGCCACCGCGCCGTGGGCACTGAGCGGAGTGTCCTCAGTTACCTTCGGTCTTCCAGGGGCCCGGGGCCCAATGTCTTGGGCGCTCTGGGACGCTTCCGGGCTTTTTCGCTGGTGCTTCTGTTTTGCTCTTCCCTCGCGTGGCTTTTCCACGGGTCTCGGGAGCCTGGAATGGAATTCACACTTCCAACATGGCCTAATCTGGTCCCAAGGCTCGTCTTGGGGGCCTCTTCCGGCCGTCTTGGATGCCCTCGGGACTGGCCGAAGAGGCCCACATCGTTGAAAGACACAAGGTTGTGTATGATTTTCACTTTTATGCGATGTTCGCATGCTCGCATTTTCGGTTTGAGGAGTATGCAAGGCGGCCCAAGAGGCCCTCCCAAATCGCCTCAAGACGGCCCCCGAAGTCCTCAAGTGGACCCGCGAGGCCCCCGAGATGGCCGCAAGATGGGGCCCGAGAGAGGGAGCACGAACCGACATCTCGAGCCCTTTCCCCCGAGATGGCCCCGAGACCGCCAGAAGGCCCCAAAGAGGCCACCGAACGGCCCCCCGCAAGAACCCTCCCACGAGGCAACTACGAGGCCTCATGTCCACTAACCAGGCTCGGCTTCGAGATAGGCCGAAGGCCACTAGATACTATCACCGACCTGGGCACTCCAAGTCGAAGGGGGTCCGAGGGAGACCTGGATTGTCGCCTGGTCCAGCCAGGTGCAAGTTGTCACTCCATCTGGTGGGTATAGGCCGAGTAATTCAACTGAGTCGTCATCGAAAACCTTGTTGCAATCCCAGATTCCAGAAAGCTGGGTGCTATAATCTACCTCGTCAGGGACTGCGTCATAAGTTGTGTCGACAGGCACTGCCCCCTGGAGGGTGGCACGGTCGAAACTGATGATGATTGTCGAAGCGTCAATGGTGAACATCGCTCTCGACAACGACGGGGCCGCTAACGAGAGCGGAATCCGGGGCTCCCGATTGAAAATGCCTGTTGCCGGAGCGCGGTAATCGGTTGTGCCCAAGCATGGATCGCCACACCAATCCACTGGATCTGCTTCTTTTCGAATATTGACCTCCATGATTGTCATTGCATGCTCTTCTGGAGGACGGCTGTCTGTGTAATCCGCGGGGTAATCTCTGTATGCGAACAAGCTCTTGTTGTAAAGGTGATCGCTCGCACAAACTCCAGGGTGGACGTGGATTGATTCGAAGAACTCATCTGTGACAAGGATGTCTGGCTGCACAGAGTCGTAAGTCAGATCTATCCTCCTAGCCCCTTCGACGTCACTGTACCACACTTGCGCAATATTCACAATCTGCTGCACGGATAAGCGATGGCCGACAACTGTGACTTCTCCGAACTTTTCGTTGCACACCATGTTGAGCACGACGAAATCCGCCACCGTGCCTCTTGGCACGCTGAAGCGTGGAAGAATGCCAAGTGCTGCCTGGCAGGGTTTCTGTAGTCTTCTAAAGGACCCACCCACCCCTCTCGTCGCACCCCTTCGCGTGCATCACCCCTACTCCTGGAGGTCCCTGGACGGCCATGGCATTTCCCTGGGGGTCGCGAAGGATACCAATACTTTTGAGAAAGGCGATCAAAGCCACCAGGACGGCCGAATCTGATTCCAACATTGTCTGAATTCGCCCCGCGAAGGCCCAATGTTGCCTCATGACGACCCAGAATTGCCTAGATACAGCTCGAAGAGGCCCCAAGGCCGCTCATTATCCTCCACGAGGAGCCTAAGGAGAGCCCGGCGAAATAAACAACAATTGTTTTCCTAAGGTGTTTCATTGTTTGTGGGTTTATCGCGCTTCTGGTTTCCGTGCGTTCAAGACGGCTCAGGAGGTCTTCAAGATCGCCCCAAGAGGGCCCATGAGAGCTCCAACATGAGTTCCCAGGCGTCCAAGAAGGCCTTAAGAAGGCCCAGCGAGGGCGCATCTACTGATCTGGGACATCTTGGGTCGGCTTGGCGTCTCCCTGGGCCACGAATGCTGCCAAGAAGGCTGAACAAGGGAATCGGAGCCGCCAAGACGGCCACGAGAGCCCCAAGGCGGCCTAAGAAAGCTCCACAATAGCCCAAGAGGGCCTCAATGCCCCAATGACCCCCTAAGACTTCCCACCCCCGCAGGAGCCCCAGGCGGCCCGAAGGCGTGATCTCCATGAGCGCCCCGAACGAAGTAAGCACGAAGAGCGCCACATGAGGCAGCCTTTCTGTTCCTCCTCCTCCTCATCGTCAACTACTACTACTACTACTACTACTACTACTACTACTACTACTACTACTACTACTACTACTACTACTACTACTACTACTACTACTACTACTATTACTACTACTACTACTACTACGACTACGACTACGACTACGACTACTGCTACTGCTACTACTGCTACTACTACCATTACTACTACTACTACTACTACTACTACTACTACTACTGCTACTACTACTACTACTACTACTACTAGTGCTACTAGTGCTACTACTGCTGCTGCTACAGGCCTCGGAGCAAATTAGCGAACACATGTCACATTCATCCGTCAACTCTTCCCCCTCCCCCCAATGTTCAAAGTTGGCGGTGGGTCTGATGAGATGCACTTCGACCGCAGTCTCCCCCGCGCGTGCCAACGTTGAGTTTTTTTTGTGGGGGAGTGTTCAATAATTGTTTCCCTCTACCGTACTACTAGTACTGCTACTACAACTACAACTACAACTACAACTACTACTACTACTACAACTACTATGACTACTTCTACTTCTGCCACACCTACTATTACTTCTACTACTACTACTGCTACAACTACTACTACTACTACTGCTGCTACTACTGCTGCTGCTACTACGACTACTACTACGACTACAACTACAACTACTACTACTACTACTACTACTACTACTTTTACTACTACGACTTCTACTACTACTACTACTACTACTACTACTACTGCTACAACGACTACTACTACTACTACTACTACTACTACGACTTCTACTACTACTACTACTACTACTACTACTGATGCTGCTGCTGCTGCTGCTGCTGCTGCTGCTACTACAACGGCTACTACTACTGCTCATACTACTACTACTACTACTACTACTACTACTACTACTACTACTACTACTACTACTACTACTACTACTACTTCTGCCACTACTACTACCACTACTCCTACTCCTCCTCCTACTACTACTACTACTACCACTACTACTACTACTGCAACTACTACTACTACTACTACTACTACTACTACCACCACTACTACAACTACTACTACTGCTACTGCTACTACTACTACTACTATTACTACTACTACTACTACTACGACGACGACGACGACGACGACGACGACGACGACGACGACGACTACTACTACTACTACTGCTACTATTTCCCCAGTCAGAGTATGCCTCCTTAGGGGTCCTATCGTATTCAGATGTGTAAGTGACCAACGTCCCCGATTTCGGTGGCCGGGCCGGGTGCCCGGGCGCCTGGGCGCCCGGGGGTATATACCACGTGCCCGGGTGCCCGTGTGCCCGGGTCGCCCGGGGGTGCCTGGAGGTGCCTGGAGGTGCCCGGGAGTGCCCGGGGGTGCCCGGGTGCCCGGGTGTCAGGGTGCCCGGGTGTCCGGGTGCCCGGTAGCCCGGTAGCCCTATAGCCCTACAGCCTTATAGCCCCATTGCCCTATAGCCCAAGAGCCGAAGAGCCCTATAGACCTATAGCGTGATAGCTTTATTGCCTTAAGAGCCCTATAGCCCTTTAGTCCTATAGCCCTATAGCCTTATAGCCTTATATCCCTATAGCCCTATAGCCCGATAGCCCTATAGCCCCATAGCCCTATAGCCCTATAACCCTTTAGCCCTATAGCCCTATAGCCCTAATAGCCCTAATAGCCTTATAACCCTAATAGCCCTAATAGCCCTGTAGCCCAATAGCATATAGCCTTATAGCCTTATAGTGCTTTAGCCCTACAGCCCTATAACCCTATAGCCTTATAGCCCTGTAGCCCTATAGCCCAATAACCCCATAGCCTTATAGCCCTAGAGCCCTAGTAGGCCTAGTAGCCCTACAGCCATATATCCGTGAAAAGATACAA